GGCGGCGGCCCCACAATCCCCTTCTGGCTCCGGGGACGGGCGGGGCGGGGCGAGCGGGCGGAAATAATTTTCTGTTTGGTCGTCTCTGCCCCAGTCCCTTCGCCGCGGGACGCGCGAGACGGGAGAAGATGCGGGAGGCGGGAAGCAGGAGCGGGAGCGCGCGGCCCCGGCACGCATAGGGCGGCGGAGAGGGCGCGAGCAGGGATTGAGCACCTACTGTGTGCCTTCACGCCTTACAAAAGGATTTTCGTTCGGTGTTCGGTACAGCCCCTGTCCAGGGGTACTAACGCCCCATTTACAGAGGGACAAGCCGGATTTCGGAAAGGGGAAGTCACTCGCCGAAAGTCCCACCGCCAGGGTCTGCGTGACACCCCAAAGCAGTGCTCAGTTAGTCCGGGGAGAGCGCGGTGAACTTGAACCACTTGTTGGCTAGTTCCTGCTCTTGCTTGTTTTTTGCGGATCGGCACACAGTGGGCGCTCAGGAAAATAAATGATGGAAGCTTGAGATTGAACTTGACAGCTCGACCCTGGGTACTCGCCACGAATCCAGCCCAGCCCGCGGGGCACCGGGTTTCTCCAGAACTCGCAGGGAGCATTTGCGGATGGGCCGGTGGAGGAAGCTCGGACATCCCAGCTCCGCACCCGCTCTCGACCAACGCGTGGTGGCGGAACCCCTGTCGTAGCGGAGAATGGGTTCAAGTCCCGACTCTGCCAATTTCAGGCTGAGTGACTTTGGGCGAGTCACTTCTTCCCGTCGAAACCTCAGTTGCTCCATTCACAAAATGGGAGATATGAACACCCACCCTAAAAGGGTGTGGGTAGGATTAAACGAAACAATGTTCCTAAAACGCTAAACTTACAAGTGTTGTCTCCCGTCCAACCCATAAACTTAGGCGACAAAGCCGGCGCGGGGTGACCTGAGACAAAGGCTTCCCGGTCCCCGTCTCCAGGTCGTCCACCCCTAGGGCGTAGGCACCTTTTAGTAACCCCCGTCCGGCGAAACCTGAAACTGCGGCCACCTTTGCAGCGGTGGGTCCCAAAAGCAAATATTCAAATATTCTGAAACTCGTGTATGATTTAGGACTGACATTTTTACGTTTAACATTCTTGCAGTTTTATTCTTGCTAGTAAAGGTAATTCGTTAGAAACCCCTAAGTGCAGTTTCTCCTCTGTGTCTTGTTTAACTTTTCGTGTTAGCGAAATTTACAAATTTGACCAAGGAACCGGAGCGCGGCAGTCCTCGCCGGGATCCCGGCCATCGCAATAATCTGGCTCTCGGCCCCTACTCCCAGGCACGGAGGTCAAAGAGACCGGCTTCCCCTACACCGCCCTGTGTAGATGTAGCCTCTTCGTCCCGGCAGCCCTCCGAGATTCCCTGTGTCCACCGGAGCGAGGGGAGATGGGGGGCTGCAGCCCAGAACTCAGCTTCCCCGACCTCCCCACAATCCCGCCTCTCCGGGATTAAGGGAGTAAATCCCTGACGCCAAAGACCAGGTCAAGGACAAGTTCTCCCCCGCCCTACTCCCCCCTCCTGGGCGGGGATTCACCTCCCTTCCCGGATGAAAGGTACTAAAGAGCCGACGGGGGGCTGCGGCGGGCCCCAGGCCCTTGATGTTCCGGTTGAACAGGTGCTGGTGAAAAGGAGGCGGACCCGGCGGAAGAGTCTGCCAGGGGGCAGTGCACCGAAGGGGGGGCGACCTCCTCCACCGCCAGTCCCCCGGCCCGTCTTCCCTTCTCCTCTCTGTTTGCCCCTCCCCCGCAGGAAGCGTTCCCGGCCTCGAGGTCTTTGAAGTGTCGTTGAAGCCCCCAGGGCTGCCTTCTCCCCTACGCCACCCGAACTCCCGCTGTGGGGGGCGGGTGACCTTTAGTCCCACGAGCGTCGCCCCCCTTTAGGAAGTTTTTGGGGGGTCAGATCTCACCCCCCTCTTGCCCACACAGGTCTTGGGAAGAAGCGTTTGGGCCGACGCCCCTCACTTCTCTCCCAGACCCAACTGCAGGGACTTTAGTCCTCTGGAGTGCTGCGTGTGAGTTACGCTGTGTGTCTGTGCGCGTGCCTAGAGGTCAAGTGTAACTGGTGTTCGTGAGCACCTCGTGGTTGCGGGTCTCTAACGTGGGTCTCTAAGCGCGCGCGCGGGGCTGGAGCGGAGGTTCGTGTCTCTGGGAGGGTCAGTGGTGTGACTGAAGCTGGGAGTTAGCTCGTGTCTGTGGGTGCCTCGGTGTGTGTCTCTGGGGCTCCGAGTCCCTGTGCGTGCGTGTGTGTCTGTGAACCCGACAGGAAGCTCCCCGAGGGCAGGAATGTGTTTTGCTCTCTACTCGATCCCAGCGACTGGCAACGAGCGTTTAATAAATATCTGTTGAATGAATAAGTGTCTGCGTGTGACAGCGTCTACCCTCCAGAGTGGCCTCCGGGAAAAGGGCCCGAGGGCGGCCATCCAAAAAGACCCCCAGACACGGGGTGGGGCGGGGGCGAACGGCCCGCGTCGCTCCCATTCCTCCTAGCTCCCCTTCCCCCGGTCTCCACCCCCAAGTTTCCCTGGGGCTGAAGAACCCACCCAGAGACGAAGACTTGGCGGAGGGGGCTGGAGACTCGGGACCCGGGGCCCGAGACGGGAGGGCGGGCAGAGGGAGGGCTCGGGAGCGACGACCCAGAGCCCTAAAACGAAAAAGAAAGCAGGCAAAGCAGCACGGAACGAACGAGCGAAAAGCTCCCTACCAAGCCAGGCTTTGTTCCCTGAACCTAAGACTTTACCCGGCGGCTGGCGGCGGGCGGGCC